TTATCCTACAGTGTGATCTGGTGCAGTTATATTTCATCTCAGAGATGACTGCATTGCCAGAGGCACTAAAATGGCTTCTGTCTAATAAATGGGACAAATAATAAAACTCCATGCACATACTCTGTGTGCATTTGTCTGGAATACACTCATTTTAGCTTAAAACTATGCTCTAACAGTACTGCTGACTTTATATTTATGAGGTAGTTTTAAAATAGCTTCAGCTAAAATAAGTGTGTTTTTGCATGAGAGAACTAAAGTGAAAGTTTGAATATAGTTTTGAACTTGAGTAATTATGTGAGATGTCTCATCAGTTCTCCTGGAGATATTTTAGTCATTGGGAGTTAATCATTACCTGAAATTACAGGAAAAACCTATTCAAAGCCATTCTACCATATAGTGTTGTGTTAGGGAAGAAATGCAGACACTGACTCATAGTTGTCAGTTATTTATTGAGTCAGTTATGCTGTGATTCTTTCCAACATTATTTTTGCTTTTGGTTTACAGTAAGATACTGATCTGGTGGATGAGACTCTCTCAATTAGAGCAAGACCCTGCCCACCTTAATCAGGAGAGGTGTTTGAGTGTCTAACTACCATAGGGTCACTACAAAATTTTAAAACTCTATGGGAAATACACATAAGGGTAAAGAGGTTAATGAGTTAACATTTATTTGAAAGAGGCATCTGAATGCCCTTTTACATCAGAAAGTGATAGCTGTGCTCTGCAGCTGAGAGGAACAGGAGAAGCCAAGGAAAAATTTAAACAGGTCAAACAGTGGTGCTATGGTTGCTCCCAGCGACTGTGCCAAGTCATGGATAAGGAGATAAGCAAACCTCCGGGAAACAGCAGACACAGGGCTTGGGCTGACACACAGGAGGTGCCTCACTGCACTTTCTGTAGACACAGTCAAGAACAAACTTGTTCCTAACTTGGGGATATCAGATGCTTACTGCTACAGAGTACACCTTTCTTTCTGTACTACAAAGCTAGGCAAGTTCCTCTCTGGCTCTGTAGTGTGTGAACTTTCTTGAATGTAGGAAAAACAGAAATTCCTTCTTCTGCCTGTGTCATGTTAACCTGAAGATTAGACAGGATGGGTACACGACCTACAAGTCAAAAATCACGGTAACCATTTCAGGTAAGATTATCTAATAGATAGTGTCAGCAGTGGCCTGAATATGCTAATAATGTCTTGTGGAAAGTGCATATTTTTTACGTTCTCATGATGTCAGCATTTTCTACCTCATTGTGAAAGTTGATCAATATTTATGGTTTTAAACATACAGAGAAGCAAACAAAACCATTGCAGTTATTTATTCAGACACACAACTATCCACAATGTCTGTGCAGTCATATTACTGATAAAATCATTCATTTTTGCTAGGTCTCCTTCATCATCAGCTTTCTCATGTGGAGTAATAAAGCCTATTTTTCCTTCATTCTGAACTGATGTTTATGTTCTCATGTTTTACCACCTGATTCATCCTCACCACTTTTATAGGAGTATTTTTTTTTCTTCCCCTGCTGCTTCAAAAATCCCTTCTTATGTTTATTTGCTATGCTTGTGGATTGAGCAAGGACAGTTTGATTTAGCTCATGCTTCTGAACTTCCATGTTAATGAATCTTTCAAGACTTGGCCTTTTGTTTACATTTTTCTAAGTTCATAGTCTCCATAGTGTATAGTTTTCTTTATGAACTTGGTACTGTGCTTCTTCTGTTGTTATAGTGATGCTTGAGGAAGATTGTTCCTTGAAACTAATTGCTCCACTCTTACAACCAGAACCAGTCTAGGTTCAGGGCATCACAAGCTCCAATCTGGACAGCCTTCCTGGCTGAAGAAATTCCTGAGTGCAGCTCTTGTAGCAGAAATCTGACAATCTCTTTTGTTTATAATGTCTATTAATACTCTGAATAACAGCACAGGCATCACAGAGGCTTGATTCTGTTTCACAAGGACAGCAGGTAAATATTGCCAGAAAAATAACGGTCCACTGTCAGGAGCAAGGGATTTCCAAATCTGAGCCTGAAAGCCTGGGTGGAGGACAGCCAAGCACAGGAGATGTGGAAGCCAGGAAAGGGTCAGAGAGGGAGTAAAGCTTGCTGAAGTTGATTTTTAAAAACCATTGTAGGTATTGGCTGTAGCTTTAACATCCTTTGCTGTTGGATGAGATTAATTGCTGCTAGCATGGCACTCAAGGAAGCAAGAAGTATCTTCTAGAGATAACAAGGTTCATCATTCCAAGTAAGTTTTCTGTCCTGGAGAGAAATGACAGCATTTGCAGTCCTATCCCTAGACTGTTCTGCTAAGGGAAGAAAAAACAATCTCTCCGTGACCCTAATAAGACACCTCAGCAGACACAGCCAGGGATCTTTATCATACAAGTGCCATTCCTAGGTAGTCTGTCAGAGCCTCATTTCAGGGGCAGCACTAAATGAAACCTCATTTGGACCAAGGTCTACCCGAGGATTGCCTCATCAGCCTTCAGGCTGTCTGGGTGCCAGCAGTGGGAGACAAACCCTAAAGGAGAAACCTATCCCTGGATTTGCAACTCTGTAGCCTAGGAAAAGGATGAGAACTGCTGCCAGAGCAGCACTCCTCCAGCTCTGCTCTACCGAACTTACTCGTCTGCTTTGGGTGCTACTGGGAAAAAGTGCTGAGTAACTGTCCAGGAAAATCAGATGAATTCATTTGTGTTTTCTTTTATGTAGGGTACCAGAGAATGCCATTCAGATGCTGACCAGGGGACAGACATCTGATTTAAGAGGCATATTCCTATCTTCCTAAACTTTCAAAAAGAAATATTGTTAATGACAGGACAGGCATCTCATGCATCCCCAAGCTCCTTCACTCTGATAGCTTGAATGTTTAATCAAAGCTTTGACAGAGGAGTAGATCAGGACTACTGTATCATTTTCCCTTCAAGGCATGCTTCAGCAACCTGATGCAGATTGCTAGGTCGATGAGATATATCAATATTGTAAGACACCACATGTCAGGCTGAACACATTGAAGGCTGTGTTAAATTTGAACATAGGTCATGAATCACTCAAACTTATTCAGCCAACCAGAATTAATATGAAAATTATGAGTAATAAGGGGCTTTTGTTTTGTTTTTATATAAGCAGGAGGATGAGGCATCTGAACAAAGGTTCATATGAGACAACAACTGTAACTCTGCTCATGTAGGAATGGTTCAGACATTTGGATCACGATGCAGAAAAATCTACATTTGTGTTTTGTTGAAGACTTTACCCTAGCTTTCTGAGAATTAAAACTTTGACAACTTGATTTGGGGAGAGACTGTTAAAACCATCAAGTCTGGTAAAAAATAATATACTGTATATAAAACAAAAGCTTTTAAGAAAGCTTCCCCCTATATCTCCTGAAGAGAGAACAGATCATGTTAAAATTGAATGCTACTTTAATTAGTTTTTCTCTTTTTCACCATTTATAACCTTGTTAGCTAAATTTTCTTACAAAGATAATCTGTAAGGTTATTTTAGATTTAATCTCAAACACAAACTCAGTCACTAAAGTGCACTGAATAGTCCTTGACTTTACTGCTACTAACAATGACTCTATGCCCTACACATCATGATAAGTATTTACATGTTCTTACATACTTTGAACAATATGTCATCATGATTCATCATCCTTTATCTGTCTTTGTTTTTGCTGATTTTGCTTTTTTTATAGCTCACCTCTGTCTAGACCAACACACAACTCCTTCTAAACACAAGCTTGATGATACCTAGACATGTAAGCTCAGATGGGGAAAGAGATGGTGGTCTCATCAGATTAACCATTTGCTTTTCTATTTCAGTACCATGGAAAAATTTTGCTCTCAGAAAAAAATTTTTTTTCCTCCTTATTGTGGGATGTGCATTGATGAAGCATCTGACATTCACTGCAGACTATTATTGAAAGCTCTTGCTACAATAAGATTACTCATTCACTTTTTGCACATTTTTGGTAAGTGTGTGGTACCTCAGAACCTGTGCCTGTCACTGGGGCCGGCACAGAAGCACTCACTGAGCTCCATGCAGCTCTACTAGAAGGAAGAGGACTGGTTTTTGGCATCAGGAATAGCAGTAGCTCAAGAGTGAAAGACCATTGTTCATAAGTGGCACAATCATCAGAAGCGGTGGCACAGCAAAAGAAGCTCTGAGAGCACTGCAACCAGAGATGCAAGTAACAGGTCTATTCATAGCCCTGCTTTTCCCCAGGGAATGGCATCTTGCGAGTGACTTCATTAGCTGCTGACAGCAGACAGACTGCGACGCGCTGGGAGCGAAAGGGAAACACTCATCAGATGGCCCCAGCCACAACTGAGGAAATGCACAGAAGAGATAACTGGCAAGCATGGTCCTTTCCTCTCTGTTCAGAAGAAGTTAGTCACATCCCTGAATGCAATGCTGTATTTCTTTTCTTTTGGCAGGGCTCTCTTCTTGTGTACAGACTCACTCTGCACAAAGGGTGTTGCTGTCGATTCAATGCACCCTTGGAAACTACCCAGACTGTGGGAGATGGGATCTGAATTCCAGATCAGTTGCTAATTGTAAGAAAAAAACCCAAAAGTCTTGGCATTTGTTACTTTTAATAGTCAAAAGAAGACACCCACCAAGCCTTGTTACCTGCCATGCAAATCTGCCCTGTGTTTGACTTCTCGCACTGTGTGCAATAGAACTTCCCTCACTGCATGGCCAGCAGGATGTGTGCTCTCTTAGGTGTCTGCAATGTATTTACTCATAGAACAGGGTCACACAGCCCAAATGACCCGTACCCATAAAAACAGGGATCCCCACTCCCTTCACAAGATTAAACACATCCCTCCCTGCCGAACTAACTTAGAGGGTATTGTTTGTTTGCCCGCCAGTGCCCTCCACGCTCAAAAGATCTTACAACAGCTAAAGAGCTGAGAGCTGAAACACAAGGTTTTCTATACACAGGTACTTCCTACTTTGCCCCAAAAGTTTACAGAAAAGCACATTGCCTTACCTGCTGTTCCCCAGTGCACTTGTGCATTTTTCGGGTGCAGAGCAGACTTGCCAACATCACAGCCATTCTTGCGCTGCAGCCCAGCTTTCTGCTGGATCCGTCTTTCTCCGTGTGGCAGCTGCCTTGCTGCTTGTCAGCCCTGAAGCCAAGCCTCCTTTTTAAAAGCACACCACCATCCTCCTCCTTCTAGCTTCATTTTTCTCTGTGGATTCTCCAGGCTTGCCGAGTGTCTGTGTTTCAAACATTAATACTTTGATTACTAGCTTTCTTTAGCAGCTTTCTACTCTCCAAACCCTGTCTCCTATAGAAAGTTTGACAAAAACTGGCCTAAAATGCCATTAATTGAAAGTCCTGTTCTTCCCAGAAGAAACACTAGTAGTCCTTCATAACCAAGCAGGCTATTTATAAGAATGGTGACAGTACCATGAGTATGAGGCTGTCCAGACAAGACAGGATGATAGAGGCTGTTCATAAAATCAAAACTGGAATTCACGTGCTGTATGTCAATAGCGATTTAAGCAACCACTTTCTTTCTCCATTCCAGAGGGAAGAAATAAAAGCCCTCTTAGCACAGGGACACACAAGACATTGTCACTGGAATAATGAATCCATTATTTTAAAGAATAATGTTGAAGTTTTGTATCTCTTATAATCCTAATCGCCCCTCTTTCTGTAATGCAGTGCTTCCGCCTCTTGTGCACCTGCTTTCACACTTCCCAAAGGAGATTCTTCCCCATAAACTGCACTGCAGTTTCATCTTAACAGACATATAACTAGGTTCTTTAATCTGAGCAGCAGAATACAATTAGTTTGGGATAAAGAACAGAGGGATCCCAGACAAGCCCCAGACAAAACCAGAAAGGCAGGGAGGCAGAATTACCTTAGGGAATGCACAAGGAAGCATCAGTGCCAGCTGGGTTGTGAATCAGAACAGCAAACAGCTGTAACATTTCTTCTAAGGTACTCGGTGGGAAGCCAGGCATAAAGAACAGAAGCATCCCAGTGTACACATCATTTCCCTGTGCAGGAGATGAGGAGCTGGGGAAGCACTGTAAGAAAAGGAAAAACATGTTCAAAGCAGGTAGAGATGAAATAAGGATCTAATGTAGGGTTAGGAATGCTCCTAGTGAAGGATTAGAAAAACTTGTGAAGAGGCAGGAAAATCACATTACTTGGAGTGAGGCTGGAAGCTGCAGTGCCTGGGACACCCTGCAGTGGCACAGTGGGCTCAGCAGCCCACTGGCCCCTTCCCCATGTCCAGGCTGCCCTGATACAGGGGCAGAGGAGACCAGTGCAGGCCTCACGGGTTCCAGTTGAAGACCCCTTACCACCAGAACTGCCACTTTTCCCTCTACCTACAGCAATAAATAAAGCCACCACCTAATCTCTGCAAGACTCAAGTAGGAAGATAACAACCAGCTCGTGTTACACTCTGCCTTGTCAGCCCTTTGGGCTGATGCACATAGGTGGAGAGGCAACGATCCCCTGTGCTGACTCTCCCCGTGTTTGAAGGCATGTGGGGTGTGCTGCCAGGGAACAAACACCCTGTACTGTCCTCTCCCCCACCCACCTACAAAGACATGAAGCCCCTTAGCAAACTTCGCCCACCTTGCGCTTACGGGTGACTCCCACCTGAGAGCTGGTGGCACAGTTCCTGCAGCAGCTGCGGGGTCCCTCGCAGGCTGGGTGATGGAGGGTGCTGCAGTGCACCCCCATGAAGCTCTGCACCACTTGAGCTCTGCTCAGCCTGTCCCTGTCCTGAGCCCCTCTCAGATGGGGCCAGTTGAGCTGCAATGTGGCACTCAGTGAGGACCATGTTTGGAGAGCAGAGCCCAGGGAGACAAACCCTGGAGACTGCTGGAGGTTACTTCTTTAATGTCAGTGTCACTCATGACTGTGTTTGCTTTTTGACAGAAAGTTGCCTTGGGTCAGAGATGGCTCTGTGTTTAGTCCAGCCTGTGCTGGGGTGTGAAAGGACAGTGGTGGAAGGCAATTTTCCCACAGAAGCATCCAAGCGGCAGAGGTGTTTCAAAGCAGAGGGAGAAGGGGAACAAATGACAATCAGAAGAGCTTCAGGGAGCCAGGCATGGACCCAAAATGGAATTAATGAGTGAAGCAGTAAGGTCAGAGTAGAAGAAATAGGCTACATTGTAAGAGAAGAATCCCTTAGAATTGGATGGAAAAACTATCACAGCACAAATTTTGCTCTGAAGGAGAAGTAACATTTGTGGCCCCCCTATAAACCCATATGATGGCTTTTCACTGATATGTCCCTGAAAGCTAATTAGAGCCTGAAGTTGTAAATTGGCAGTTGATTAGGAGGCCAGAAGCACCAAAAAACCATGGATACCGCAAGAAAGCCCACTGTGCTTCTCCAGCCAGGAGCCATGTGGGGTGGGCAGCACTTCTCTGCCCTCCCCATTTTTGTCTGACAGTCAGGTACAGTGAGACATAAATTGCCTTGGCAAATTGTGTCCGGTGCATGGGTTACTGAGCAGCAATTCCCCAATGTGCCAAAAGCCCAAGCCACTTGTGGCAGCTGAGGAGCACAAGGCAAAGGGAGGCTGAGCTGAGGCAAGGGGGACTGAGCTGTCCTGAGGGCAGCAGGTGAGACCCAGCACATCAGCAGCACCAGAGATCTCCTCCGCCCTCTCACAAATCCAGCAGCCCAGCCCCATGCACCAGGTGCTGATATGCATTTATAGGTATTTATATAATATCAATCAGAAAGATGATTTTCCTGAGCTTTTACCATCAATGTGGCACTAGGTCTGTGACACACTAGGGAATTCTATTATGGACCTTTAAAAATGGAATTTAAATGGCTACAGAATGACTTGCTAATAATAGGTGGCAATAAAACCTCTCTACTTAATACAAATATCACATGAAAAGAGGGAGACCAAGCGCTTCCATACTGTGTTTGCCTTCCACACACCTTCCAATAACCATGACTGGATTTTTGCTTTGATACCAGGAGGAATATATTGCTAACAACTAGAACTGAATTTGTACTTAGATATGTATTCCAGGGAAAAATATTACCCAAGTTGTCTGCAGTGGTAGCAAGTCATTAACTTTTTTTTTTCTTTTCTTCATACAGGCACAGAATTAAAACATTAATTACCTTTTTAAATAAAGATATAAGGCTTGATTCATCTCACATGTAATCTCGTAATTTTGATCCCGTTGATTGATTTATTTCTTCAGTAATCCCTAAGGATCAAGAGTCATGGAAAATTTGAAGTGAAAGAGGATGTTTGTTAAACACAAATACAGGTGCCTTAATGCACAAACAATAAGTAAAACCAGAAAATATTTTTCCTGGAATAAAATGCAAACCCCCTTAATCCCCAGAAATTCACTGCTTTTCTTCAGAACTAGCATTTTTTGGCAACATACACTTCCCTGAACTAGGTAAAACTCCCAGCTGCAAGAACAGTGGCGGTAAACCAGAGGTTTGAACATGCAATGAAGAAATTACATGTAGAATTATTTTTGACAGGCTCAGTGAAATCAAACGCTATCATTGCTTATGACAATCCACCTCACTGACCATATTGAATTTGCCTAGGTACATCCCTGAGAGCAAAAACTGCAGCTGCCTGGCATAAAACCTCTAGATACAGAAGCCAAAAAAAATCCTGTGTAAGAACTTTATCAGAGCAGGGAGGATAAACCCCTTTATATCCCTGCTATGCAAACTTAAGTGATAGAAGTACCTGAATATTTTACGGGACAGAATCTTCTGATATATATTTATTCAAGGTGTCCAAATACCTCAGGTCTGTGTTTTTGAAAATTTTTACTTGATCTGTGGTTAAATCTTTGGGTCAAATTAGTGCTAAGTTAAGTCACACCACTTTACATCATGATGGACAAATATTGCCTTTACTTGATGTGTAGATATAAAAGGGGCTGGAGGTAGTGGTGGAATCAGTTTATATGTTATTACTTCTATTACCCTGCTACCTTATGCAGAAACAGAACTTCATGGTAGAAATTGTACAAATATCCTTAGATACAACTCATACCCAGAAACCCGACACAGACGAATTAGTTCCACAGCAACAGAGGTAAATTCTGCACAGGAGTTGCTAGAAAAGGGGCATGGCAACGGGGCTGGACTCAGAGCATGATGCAATCTGTTAGCAAACTGCAGCAGAAGACCGTATGGACCAAGGAGGGACTTTGTGATACTACAGGAGCAAATGAGCTTTGCTTCTGCTGTCTGGAAAGGGGACTGCTGAGCACTGTGCTGGGGAGAAATCAGGCATCATTCAGGGTCTGCCCCAGACCAAGTAAAGTGTCAGAAATTACTGTTCAGAACAGAATTTAGTAGCAAATATATGAGTTCTATTTTATCACTCATAAGCCTGGGTGGAATAAAATGTAATGTAGGGTTAATAATCTCAAAGTATCAATAAGGAAAATTTATATCAAAATATGATTTCCATAATTAATAAAACAGGCAACTATTATACTATGCAATGAATGGTTACATGTGTCTTGTGAGACTGAGTTCTTAGCAACACCACAGATCATTTTATTACAACTTTACAATTGCTTTTTTAAAACATTCATAAAGCAGTAAAATATCTGAATAAGCCAGAATGAGTCTTATTTATTTATTACTGTTATTTATTACACTGCATAAATGAACACTGGCCTTAATTCATGTTTAAAAAGCAAAGACATTAAAGTGATGCATAGTTACAGCAACCCTAACAAAGCATCTAAACTTCAAACATATTATTTTCACACCCAAATCAATTTCTGAAAAACCTTACACAGTAAAGGATATACCATTAAACCTTCCATGTTATTTATACAAATTATAAAAATAAATGAGCATTGACAAACTTATCCATATTTCAGAATGAATTATGTTCTCTTTTGCAGCCAGCATCATATTTGATCAAGAAACTCGTTGGAACCACGGGGAAAATTTTTTTTCCAATTCATCAGTTGAATGTACTTTTTAACATTATTAGCTGCAAATTAAAGTGATAATAGAAACAGACCTAGAATATATGCTCTGAAGCCTTTAACCATGCACTGCACTACTTACCACTCAGGACAAACCTTTCAATTCAGAAAGTGTTGA